CTGTAGAGTTTCAGCATGCAACGGCGGAAGACACGGCGGATTGTGTTCTTTGAAAATGCTTTCTGGAAGTATTCCTGAGCCCGTTCTGTTATTTCCTTGACAGTAGCATTCCTGTTTGAGGTGCAGTGACGTTTAAGGGCCCGGAGATCACAAGCATCCAGTAAAGTTTTACGGCCTTGACCCTTACGCACAGTAATTGTTCCAGATTCTCTGAATCTTTAGATGATGTTATGCACGGTTGATGATGATGATAACTTAAAAGTCTTTGCTATTTTACGCTGGGCAACACCATTCTGGTATTGCTGCATTATATTTCTGTGCAACAATAGTGGGATAGGTGATCCTTTTACCATCTTGGCTTCAGAGAGACATGTTATATGCTCAATATCCTTTTCCCAGCCACTTATTGCTACTTGTCCCAACTTTTTTGGGATCTGTAGACACTGTGACATTTTAAATCAACATATTTTTCTTTCAAAATGTTACATTTACTCAGATGAAACTTTTGAGCTTTCATCTATGCTCTATTACGAATAAAATATAGACATTTGCCATCTTCACATCATTGCATTCAGTTTTTATTCACAATTTGTTTAGTGTCCCAACTTTTCTGGAATCCGGTTTATACAATAATAAAATCCATCTTTACAGCAGATGAATATGTATTTAAAAAGAAAGAAAGGGCAAGTATGTTCATGGAGTAGTAGGAATAATGGACAATCCAATGAGTGTTTCAGCCAGAAATAAAATAATAGAACTCCATAGCTAACAGGTATATGTGTGTGGAGATTGCTGGTGCATTTTAAAAAGGTCTGACAGCAAAAGTTTCTACAGGTTTCACTGACTCAGATTGAAGACTTTTTATTACCCTAATAAATGAAGAATCTGTATGTTTAGAATGATGGAATCAGACAGAGAGTTATGAACAAATCCTGATATTTAAAGTAGAAAATAAAATACAAATAAATAAAAAATATTTTTCAACATTAACTGATAAAGCAATCTTTCCAGCAGGTTATGCATTTCTGAAAGTAAACAATAAAGAACTCTACAGCTAAAATATGGATTCTTTACTGTATTTTCACCTGATCTCCAATAGATCCAGTTCTTCATGGAGGGTAGAGGAACCAGAACATTTACTCAGTAAGAGCAGCAATACTCTCATTAGAAGATTACTGAAGTGAAAGGAAACAAGTGAAGTAAAGTACAACTACTCCTACAAAGGAAATTATTTTCTAAAAGTTACTGCAGTAAATGTAACTAGTTACTATCCACCTCTGGCAGGTTGTTTTAGACCAAATCAGGTTATTAACATCATTTCTTTCTTCCTGTCTGACATGAAATCTAAACTA